CCCACACACTCACCTTCACTGCCCTCACACACACACTCACCTTCACTGCCCTCACACACACACTCACCTTCACTGCCCTCACACACCCACTCACCTTCACTGCCCTCACACACACACTCACCTTCACTGCCCTCACACACACACACACTCACCTTCACTGCCCTCACACACACACTCACCTTCACTGCCCTCACACACACACTCACCTTCACTGCCCTCACACACACACTCCCCTTCACTGCCCTCACACACACACTCACCTTCACTGCCCTCACACACACACTCCCCTTCACTGCCCTCACACACACACTCACCATCACTGCCCTCACACACACACTCACCTTCACTGCCCTCACACACACACTCACCATCACTGCCCTCACCCACACACTCACCTTCACTGCCCTCACCCACACACTCACCTTCACTGCCCTCACACACACACTCACCTTCACTGCCCTCACCCACACACTCACCTTCACTGCCCTCACACACACACTCACCTTCACTGCCCTCACCCACACACTCACCTTCACTGCCCTCACACACACACTCACCTTCACTGCCCTCACACACTCACTCACCTTCACTGCCCTCACCCACACACTCACCTTCACTGCCCTCACCCACACACTCACCTTCACTGCCCTCACACACACACTCACCTTCACTGCCCTCACACACACACTCACCTTCACTGCCCTCACCCACACACTCACCTTCACTGCCCTCACCCACACACTCACCTTCACTGCCCTCACCCACACACTCACCTTCACTGCCCTCACCCACACACTCACCTTCACTGCCCACACACACACACTCACCTTCACTTTCCTCACCCACACACTCACCTTCACTGCCCTCACCCACACACTGACCTTCACTGCCCTCACCCACACACTCACCTTCACTGCCCTCACACACACACTCACCTTCACTGCCCTCACACACACACTCACCTTCACTGCCCTCACCCACACACTCACCTTCACTGCCCTCACACACACACTCACCTTCACTGCCCTCACCCACACACTCACCTTCACTGCCCTCACACACACACTCACCTTCACTGCCCTCACACACACACTCACCTTCACTGCCCACACACACACACTCACCTTCACTTTCCTCACCCACACACTCACCTTCACTGCCCACACACACACACTCACCTTCACTTTCCTCACCCACACACTCACCTTCACTGCCCTCACACACTCACTCACCTTCACTGCTCTCACCCACACACTCACCTTCACTGCCCTCACACACACACTCACCTTCACTGCCCTCACCCACACACTCACCTTCACTGCTCTCACCCACTCACTCACCTTCACTGCCCTCACACACTCACTCACCTTCACTGCCCTCACCCACACACCTTCACTGCCCTCACACACACACTCACCTTCACTTTCCTCACCCACACACTCACCTTCACTGCCCTCACACACACACTCACCTTCACTGCCCTCACACACACACTCACCTTCACTTTCCTCACCCACACACTCACCTTCACTGCCCTCACACACTCACTCACCTTCACTGCCCTCACACACACACTCACCTTCACTGCCCTCACACACACACTCACCTTCACTGCCCTCACACACCCACACACCTTCACTGCCCTCACACACACACTCACCTTCACTGCCCTCACCCACACACCTTCACTGCCCTCACACACACACACACACACCTTCACTGCCCTCACACACACACTCACCTTCACTGCCCTCACACACACACTCACCTTCACTTTCCTCACCCACACACTCACCTTCACTGCCCTCACCCACTCACTCACCTTCACTGCCCTCACACACTCACCTTCACTGCCCTCACACACACACTCACCTTCACTGCCCTCACACACTCACCTTCACTGCCCTCACACACACACTCACCTTCACTGCCCTCACACACTCACCTTCACTGCCCTCACACACACACTCACCTTCACTGCCCTCACCCACACACTCACCTTCACTGCCCTCACACACTCACCTTCACTGCCCTCACACACACACTCACCTTCACTGCCCTCACACACTCACCTTCACTGCCCTCACACACACACTCACCTTCACTGCCCTCACACACACACTCACCTTCACTGCCCTCACCCACACACCTTCACTGCCCTCACACACTCACCTTCACTGCTCTCACCCACACACTCACCTTCACTGCCCTCACCCACACACTCACCTTCACTGCCCTCACACACACACTCACCTTCACTGCTCTCACCCACACACTCACCTTCACTGCCCTCACCCACACACCTTCACTGCCCTCACACACTCACCTTCACTGCTCTCACACACACACTCACCTTCACTGCCCTCACACACACACTCACCTTCACTGCCCTCACACACACACTCACCTTCACTGCCCTCACACACACACTCACCTTCACTGCCCTCACCCACACACTCACCTTCACTGCCCTCACACACACACACACACCTTCACTGCCCTCACACACACACTCACCTTCACTGCCCTCACCCACACACTCACCTTCACTGCCCTCACACACACACTCACCTTCACTGCCCTCACACACACACTCACCTTCACTGCCCTCACACACACACACACTCACCTTCACTGCCCTCACCCACACACACACACACCTTCACTGCCCTCACCCACACACTCACTCACCTTCACTGCCCTCACCCACACACTCACCTTCACTGCCCTCACACACTCACTCACCTTCACTGCCCTCACCCACACACTCACCTTCACTGCCCTCACACACACACTCACCTTCACTGCCCTCACACACACACTCACCTTCACTGCCCTCACACACCCACTCACCTTCACTGCCCTCACACACACACTCACCTTCACTGCCCTCACACACACACTCCCCTTCACTGCCCTCACACACACACTCACCTTCACTGCCCTCACACACACACTCACCTTCACTGCCCTCACACACACACTCACCTTCACTGCCCTCACACACACACTCACCTTCACTGCCCTCACACACACACTCACCTTCACTGCCCTCACACACACACTCACCTTCACTGCCCTCACACACTCACTCACCTTCACTGCCCTCACACACCCACTCACTCACCTTCACTGCCCTCACACACCCACTCACTCACCTTCACTGCCCTCACACACCCACACACCTTCACTGCCCTCACACACACACTCACCTTCACTGCCCTCACACACACACTCACTCACCTTCACTGCCCTCACACACACACACACACACCTTCACTGCCCTCACACACACACTCACCTTCACTGCCCTCACACACACACTCACCTTCACTGCCCTCACACACACACTCACCTTCACTGCCCTCACACACACACTCACCTTCACTGCCCTCACACACTCACCTTCACTGCCCTCACACACCCACTCACTCACCTTCACTGCCCTCACACACCCACTCACTCACCTTCACTGCCCTCACACACCCACACACCTTCACTGCCCTCACACACACACTCACCTTCACTGCCCTCACACACACACCCACTCACCTTCACTGCCCTCACACACACACTCACCTTCACTGCCCTCACACACACACTGACCTTCACTGCCCTCACACACCCACTCACCTTCACTGCCCTCACCCACACACTCACTCACCTTCACTGCCCTCACACACACACTCACTCACCTTCACTGCCCTCACACACCCACTCACCTTCACTGCCCTCACACACACACTCACCTTCACTGCCCTCACACACACACTCACCTTCACTGCCCTCACACACACACTCACCTTCACTGCCCTCACACACCCACTCACCTTCACTGCCCTCACACACCCACTCACCTTCACTGCCCTCACACACACACTCACCTTCACTGCCCTCACACACCCACTCACCTTCACTGCCCTCACACACACACTCACCTTCACTGCCCTCACACACACACCCACTCACCTTCACTGCCCTCACACACACACTCACCTTCACTGCCGGCCGGTGACATTCATCGCCTCCGTTCAAGGGCCGCGATTCGCGTGCGTGACCCCTGCCCCTCGTAGTAGTTACTGCCCCCCCTCCCCCTTCACCACCAACAGCCGTGATCAATCCACTGCTGGATGAAAAAAAAAACCTCGCCTCCCCTCGCCTCCTGCCAGGCCGTCGACGCCTCTGACGGTCCCCGTGAATCAGGGACATCTTCTCGGGCGCGTTTACTCCTCCTTTGGCTGCCGCTCCGTGATTAGTCTCGCCCCACCGGCCTTTGCGGGTAACCATGGCCAGTCCGCCAGGTGTCATAAGGTACATTCCAGTCCGTGTTCTCAATGAACACGGCTCCAGCCATACTTCACCACGCTGGTCAATGCGGGGTGCTGTAGTAGGCAGGTGATTGGGGGGGGGGTTCCGACATCACTCGCCACTGATGTGAGCCGCGGCTGGCAATCCATTCGGGAACACTATAGCGGTCCGATAGAGTCGATGTTAACCATCGATGTCACACCAACTAGCGCACACCCGGCGTTACAAGGGTCTCGGTAAAGGCGCAGCCCTGCAGTTGCTCGCTCAAGCCACTGCTGACGGAAGGGACCTTGCACGAAACGAGAGGTGTACGGAGCTACTCGAGACGGCGTCTGGCCTTCTCTTCCACGCTCGCCAGACGTTTTGTAACAAATTGGAGCACCCGAACTCGGAGATCGGTTGCATGTGTAAACCTTTTAGTGGTTCTAATTTAAACTAAACGTATACTGCGCACACATCGCCAGCAGAGGGAGCTGCAACTGTTGCACGGCACTTCTGTACTCGCACGTCGTTCCTACTCCCACTCCCCGACTTCACGATACGCACACCGACACAACAAGCGTCGTGGTGAAGCGTGGTAACATCGAGCCCCACGACCCGCACGGCATGGGGAGGGGGTGGAGGGGGTAGGGGGGGGCGGGGATCATCCAGCAGTGGAGTGTGCGCACAGACGCGGAACCGCGACCACTCACCGCGCTTCCCGACTCGCGGTCTTCGAAATCTCCCCAACTCGTCCTGGGCTCCTTCGTCCAGTGGCGTCTGCCGATCTTCTGGATCTCACACCCTGTCGGCCTCCCCACCTCTCGATCCCCCGATACGAGGTCCTCCTGCTGTTCCAACCTCCGGGTCTCGCGGTCTCAAGGGTCCTCCCGCTCTTTGAATCTCCCGATCTGCTGTGCTCCCTCGCGATGGCCCGATCCGAGGTCTCCCCGATCCTCTGCTCTCAGGTCATCTCCATACTCCGGTCCCTCGGGGTTTTTGAATCGCCAGATCCGTCGGTCTCCTCCCGATCTCGGGACCCCGTGAGTGTAACTCAGGATGTCATCTTCTTGCTGTCTGTCGCCACTGCCGCCCTGTCTGACGCTACCTCCTACGGCACATGCGCGCACAGCGCTATCAATACACACGTGTGTGTGTGTGCGTGTGTCTTTGTTCGGGTGTGTGTTGTGGGGAGCGATAGTGTAGCGATTGCGCTACGAACCCGTCCAACTGAGTTAAATTCCCGCTCATGGCCAATTCCAGTTAATTTGTCTGAACTGGTGCTGGGGCTCCCCTAGGTCGACTCGACCTCGAATGAGTACCCGGTGGGGTGTGTAAAACATCGCCATCGGGGAGACAAAGGCGGCCGGGCGTGGTGCTGGCCACCCACCTCCTCGTGTGCCGTACAAGCCTTCATAGGTGCTCGCTAACAGCACTTGCCCCAACAGTCTGTTAAAGATGATGTGTGGGGATCTTCGAGACGTCTCGAGTGTTTGTGCTGAGACCTCCTCCCAGAGAATCTCCGCCACTGTAGCGACGTCACTCATTAACTCACCACGTCACTCACTCATTAACTCACCACGTCACTCACTCATTAACTCACCACGTCACTCACTCGGTAACTCACTCAATCACTCACCACGTCACTCACCGAGTCACTCACCGAGTCACTCACTCAGTAACCCACAAAGTCACTCACTCAATCACTCACCACGTCACTCACCGAGTCACTCACCGAGTCACTCACTCAATCACTCACCAAGTAGCTCAGTCAGTAACTCACCAAGCCGAGTCTCTCGATCGCTCGGTCCACTCACCACAAATCCCGGGCTCAACCGCACTCGGGTCTGTGCGTGAGGAAGCGGCGCGCGCCACATTGACCAATCACAGCTCGGGTGAAGGGGAGGGGGTAAAGACGGGGGGGGGGCAACCACCAACCTCCCCCCCCCCAACAAAAACGGTGACAGTGGTGGTCATGCAAAACATGGACTGTACTACGCAGCCACTATTTATGAACCACAAGCAACTCTCTGCCATTCACCTTTGAAGCTTCGTGCATGAGAACCCGAAGGATGTGCTTTGTTTAGCCATACTTCACCACGCTGGTCTCTATGTGCTACTTAAAGGGGTGGTGCAGATTTAACTCGGGGTACCGACGTTAGTCGGAGCCGGGTCAAATTTGCGGTGCGCTAACCACCGCGCCACCACTCCACTCTGCGTAATGCGATACATCGACCCGCACCGATGTTAGACGCGGTGGGAAATTCTGCTCGTCACGTCAAAGTACACACAGAACTGTGCACCCATTCAGCGTGTGCGCGAACGCCGATTCCGCGCGGTTGTAGCTCTACGAGAGCCAGAACGCGGCCACCCAGTGGACAAGCGACGCTGCTTGTACACAGGGCCTCAGCGGCAGCTCACCATGGAGACCCCAGCGGTCGTGACCCAGGGTAGGCGGCGCGCCGAGACACCTCGCCCGGGTGCCCCGAACCTGTCCAGAAATGCCACCTGGCGATGTGCGTGGAGCAGTGAAGCCAGCTGCACAGACTGGCTGGCGGATCCGCGATAGGGAACCGGTTTTGGGTGCTGATTTCGCTCTCTATTTCTCCCGCCAAGCCAGCCGGTCTCCGGCGGGTGGGCCTGGCGCGGATCTTCGGACCGCGGTGCGTGTCGCGATAGTGGAAGGATGCGCGGCGGGTGGCTGGCTCTTCGCGTAGGGGGGTGGTGGGTGAGTTGGGGTCGGCACATGAAATAACAAGAGCCAATTTTTTTTCGAATTCGCTAAAAAAAACGCCTACATTTTCCAAGAGGCGCAATGCGCCTGCATACGAGACGGTCCCAAAGAACGTCACCAAAGAGTCATTGATGAGCCGCGTGGTGGCTCCGCAGCAGCAGGCTGGCCGACCCCTGGCGGAGCCGCAGACGTTTGGGGAAGTATTTTGACTGCGAAACATTCGCACGTGATAAGCCACGATTGTTGAGCTATCAATTGCGATCGCCTGGTGGGTTCTGAAAAAAATAGCTACAGTGAGGGAAAAAGTATTTGATCCCCTGCTGATTTTGTACGTTTGCCCACTGACAAATAAATTGTCAAGTCTATAATTTTAATGGTAGGTTTATTTGATCAGTGAGAGACAGAATAGCAACAAAAATCCAGAAAAACGCATGTCAAAAATGTTATAAATTGATTTGCATTTTAATAAAAAAATAAGTATTTGACCCCTCTGCAAAACATGACTTAGTACTTGGTGGCAAAACCCTTGTTGGCAATCACAGAGGTCAGACGTTTCTTGTAGTTGGCCACCAGGTTTGCACACATCTCAGGAGGGATTTTGTCCCACTCCTCTTTGCAGATCTTCTCCAAGTCATTAAGGTTTCGAGGCTGACGTTAGGCCTCGGCAAGGTAAGGTAATTTACCTTTTTTACCGGGTAAAAGGGTAAAGGTAAATGTGTCGACATGCCAAGGGGTAAGGTAATGGGTAGGGTAAAGGTAGCTCGGAAGAATTACCCGGTAGGGTAAAGGTAGCGCGAAGTATTACCCGGTAAATACGCTGCCTTGTTTACCGCTAAAAGCTCCGTGGCGCAGTCCGGGGCCTCCATTTAATAAGTAATATATATATTTTTTAACTATTTTAAAAACACGCTTTAATGAAATGTACCATACGAGTAATGGCAGAACTCCACGACTCCAGGAAGTGGCCCTGACGCTTGCCATAACGTAAGGGACCGTGGCCAATTACAGCCAACGTCAGTTGACAGTGGACAATTGGACCCAAGCCCGAAACATAACATAAAAAATAATGTTTAAAAATATTTTTATTTTATTTTTAATGATAGAATATAGCATTGTCATCAGTATGACATAATTATACCAAGTTCGCAGTCGAAACCACATTGGGAAGTGGGTTTAAATTGAGTTACAAGATTTGAAGATACAACAACGACAACAGACAGAGTGAGTTAAAAGAAAGCGTGTAAAATTGGAATCGAGAGTATTCTATAGATGAATAAAGCACTCTGCCTAGCATTTACCTGTTATAAACCTTTTTCATGTGTAGTAGTACCCCAGTAATTACTCTGTAATCAGGTAATTTGTATGGGGTAAGGGTTAAAGGTAGGGTAAAGGTAGGCTCGTTGCTTTTAACCTTTTACCTTACCTGCTGAAGGGTAAAAGATAGGGTAGAGTGTATTGTGGTAAGGTAAAAGGTAGGGTAAAGGTAGGCTCGTTGTTTTTACCTTTTACCTTACCTGTACAGGATTAACTGCACGCGTGGTAAATGTTATGTTGGGCAAACAGGACAAATGATCAGCACGAGACTAAAAGAACATCAGATAAATATTAAATACTCCCAAATACAACTATCAGCAGTAGCAGAACACGCGTGCCAACAAGGACACTCAGTTGATTTTGATAATGTTGAAGTTCTGTGCAAAACTAGCTGCTACTGAGCAAGACTAATCAGAGAATCTATCGAAATTGAAATTAATCAAAAATAATTTTAACCGTTCAGATAGCTACCGCCTTAGTGCTGCGTGGAAGCGAATCACCAAATAATACAATGTTTAAATGCATGCCTATAAAGGGCACCATACCTCAATAGGGATTACCGTTGGTACGGCTATTTTAATAAACACAATAGACAGGAAGGACAAGTTTAAAGGGCTCGCATGATGCACATGCATCATGTACGTTGCCTCAGTAATCCCCCCCCCCAACCCATTTTGCGCAAGAGCGCAGAAGCGTGGTCACCACATCTACGTCTCTATATAAGGAACGAAGCAGATGGACTTCTCCATAAATCTGGCTGTCGCCTGATGAAGCTGGTTGTAATTACTGGCGAAACGTCGTACTCAGATTGTAAATTTTGTGGCTTGGCTCTCCAACACACCGATGTGCTGCACTAGTGACGAATTGGCCACGTTCTGTCTACGTGACAACCCTTACTAGTTGGCTGTTTCGGGTTATCGGTCGCGAAAGCCTACGTGTTACAAAACATAGTTTAGTTTAGAAAGCCCGCAAGGCATGCACGTCCACACTCCTACTTCCCCTTTCCCCTCGCAAAGCCGTGATCCGCGTGCTGGGTAGGGGCATAGGCGACAACATTGCCACGGGGTGGGATGCGTGCCACATGCAAGTTCACGTGCCACATGCAAGTTCACGTGCCACATGCAAGTTCACGTGCCACATGCAAGTTCACGTGCCACATGCAAGTTCAGTGGGTCTCCATGGAAGTCTGGTGTTTCTTTCTTCGCACAGATGGAGAGCGCCTCCGATTAGCATAGTTGGTTACGTACGGTGTGGAAGTTCAACAAACACACAGAGAAAGGTATGATAAGTAGAGTGGTCTGTCAGTGATAAACGGCGCGCTATCAAAGTTGTAAGATACTGAGTTCACACGTGTTAACCTCTTCAGACATAGTTTATAGTTTTCATGTAGTTTCATTTATTTGGTATAGCCCTGTGAGCCATTCGGCTCTTGAATCGGGTGCAACCGCAACAAACAAAAAAACAAAAACACGGACAAGAAAACATCTTAAAGTGACTTTGTGCATGTGCAAACAGAAAATCCAGGAAAAAAACATCAAAATATTCCTGAAATAGCACCGTACACCAACGCTGTGTGCAAAAATCCCAGTGGGATGCAAGTCAAATAACAACAATAACAAGAAAACTTAGATTAAGGCCATCAGTCTAACTCCGTACTACAATAAACAAAAACATGGCCAAACCAAAAAACTTTTATAAATCACCAAAATAAAGCCATAAATGCAATGTAACAGTGATCATAGGGAACTGTGACTGAATTTGTAACAATAAACTACATAAATAACATGTAACACCAAACCCTAGAGCCACAGCTGGCTGCATGAGTCACTTCACAAACAACAGGAGCATCAGTCGGAGTATCACATTTTTCAATGCACCTTTAAGATCAGCACACTAAATCAAAATACAGATAATACTTTGCAGCGGTCATCCGGAGCGAAACATTTTATTTTATTTTAGGCCACTGAATAGCAGTGGCAGCTAGGGGTGTACAACTCCTCTAGAGCAGTTTTGAGTGAAGATCTCATAGGTAGTGTTTCAAGTTGCAGTTTGTTGGCAATAGCATTCCAGACCCTGGGGGCATCAATAGCAAAGGCCCTTTCAGACGATGGGAGGATGGAATTTTAAAATAGAGCAATATGACGGAAGTAGCTGAAAGACATGCGTTCCGATCTACAGTGTGGTGAGTGGGTGGATGGGTGGGGTTGAGTGTGTCGGTGTGACCAGCAGTGTGGTGAGTGGGTGGGTGAGTGGGTGGGTGAGTGGGGTTGAGTGTGTCAGTGTGACCAGCAGTGTGGTGAGTGGGTGGTTGAGTGTGTCGGTGTGACCAGCAGTGGGGTGAGTGGGTGGGTGAGTGGGGTTGAGTGTGTCAGTGTGACCAGTAGTGGCGTGAGTGGGTGGGTGGGTGAGTGGGGGTGAGTGTCAGTGTGACCAGTAGTGGGGTGAGTGGGTGGGTGGGTGAGTGGGGGTGAGTGTGTCAGTGTGACCAGTAGTGGGGTGAGTGGGTGGGTGAGTGGGTGGGTGAGTGGGGTTGAGTGTGTCAGTGTGACCAGTAGTGGCGTGAGTGGGTGGGTGGGTGAGTGGGTGAGTGGGGGTGAGTGTCAGTGTGACCAGTAGTGGGGTGAGTGGGTGGGTGGGTGAGTGGGGGTGAGTGTGTCAGTGTGACCAGTAGTGGGGTGAGTGGGTGGGTGAGTGGGGGTGAGTGGGGTTGAGTGTGTCGGTGTGACCAGCAGTGTGATGAGTGGGTGGGTGAGTGGGGTTGAGTGTGTCGTTGTGACCAGTAGTGTGGTGAGTGGGTGGTTGAGTGTGTCGTTG